CTTCTTCTCCTTTCCCTCCTTCTCCTTTCTCTCCTCCTCCTCCTCCTCCTCCTTTTTCTTCTTCATAGATAGTTGGTACCAAGCTAGCTTTGGACTGTGATCCTCAGATCTCAACCTCTTGAGTGCCTAGGTGTGAGCCACCAGTGCCTGTTGTCCTGTCGTCATTGTTTTAAACTACTGCATTGTCCACATTACTTAACTATCTACATTACTTAATAATAGAATAATAGAAGAATCACTGATGATGAAGTCCAAAAAAAGAAGCATAAAAATAATAATAGCTTTGCCAATATGCCTTGAATTGTAATATCCCTGAATTGTATTTATGAGTACAAAGTGTACAAGTGCTGGGGCTTTGGAACTTGATCCCCATATCTCAGACTTGTGAGAAGTCTCCTCCCCCAAGCCCTCTCCCTCTCTATCTCTGTCTCTCTCTCGCTCAACAGGGCCCTGTACTTAGTAGGCAGTGGACACTTCTTATCTTTTAGCCACACCTCCAATCCTATTCTGCTTTGAGGTATTTTTCCAATAGGGTCTTGCATCTTTTGTCTAGGGCCAGCCTTAGACCAAGATCCCTCTTACTTACACTTTCCACATAGCTGGGATAACAGGCATGCGCCACCGTGCCCAGCTTTATTGACTGAGGTGAGGGAGGTCTCACTAACTTTTTGCCCAGGCTGACATTGAACTGTGATCCTCCTTTTGCCTCCCAAAGAGCTGACATTACCATATGTGCCACCGCTCCCAGTGTCCTGCTGAGACCTCATGATGGAATTTGTGAAAAGAAATATAGTGGGGCTGGAAATGCAGCTTAGTGATAGAGTGCTTGCCTAGCATATGTGAGGCCCTGGGTTTGATTCATAAAATTAATAAATGAAAAATAGCCACTAAAATTATTTTTAAAAAGAAATATAGTGGATCTTTACAGACTCAGGGGCCTGGGTGAGTCCTGCTTGTATTCCCCCAAGAAAATTCAGTTCCAGAAGCACTACAGAGATCTTACTATAGCTCAATTTGAAACCCTAGGCCCCTGAGAGTTATAGGTGAACGCATGTCAAAGTGTATTTATATTTCTAGTCCTGCAGCACAGGTCCCCTGGGAGACTGGGAACTAGCACGTTCTGCTCATTTCTATTTGAGGAAGAGGGTCATGGCTGATAAATATTCTGCCCACACAGGTCTTTAAGTTGCATTTAAATGGTTTACCTCCCTTGTTTATGTGAGGCAAACAGTTCTCATGTCACTGAGGGAAAAAAGTCAAACCACCATCTCACATAACAAGGGGGAAATATTTTCCTTTCTCCTTTTATTAAAAAAAAAGCCACAAACATAACAACAAATAATGAAAGAAAAATAGACGAAGCCATTCCATTCCACGGAGGAGGAGCAGAAATGGGCGCAGAGGCTGCGTGGCCTGGTGCTGTTTTCCCTAGAACTTTCTCACAGGATCAAGAAGGTGGACATTGTGGCGGAGCGTGTATCTCTGCTGGCATGCTGTACCCCTCACTGAGTCCTGGAGCCCCCAGGAACCCCTGGGATCCCCTCAACTCTTTCTCCAGCCTCCTGAGCAGCAGAACTTTTAATTTGTGCAGGGCCATGACAGTCAGAGGGACTCGCATGCGCGTTTGTGTTTATCTAGTCGCCAAATGCTTGGTGTCTCTTTCATGCATTTCGCACTGAGGTTACCTTGGGTGCCAAGTGACTGACTCTTCACACTGCATTGCTATGTGACCACTCACAAGACAACCTGAGTCTACTGCAGACAACACAACAGGAGGCATTCCTAAGAAGGGGCTTCACTCATTTCTGACCATGTTTTTGAGATTGTAGGAGGGGAACAAAATTTCTGAGGAATGATATTTTTCGTAGTAATGTTGATCATCACAGAGGGATCTTTAAAAACACACACTTGGAGCAGGGTACCAGTGGCTCATGCTTATAAGCCTCACTACTCAGGAGACTGAGATATGAGGTGGTTCAATGCCAGCCTGGGCAGGAAAGTACATGAGACTTTCATCTCCAATTAACAAGCAAAGAGCTGGAAATGTAGCTGTGTGAAAAAGTCAAGCAAGAGTGCAGAGCCCTGAGGTCAAACTCCAATACAGACAGACAGACAGAGAGGGAGGGAGGGAGGGAGAAAGAAAGAAAGAAGGAAGGAAGGAAGGAAGGAAGGAAGGAAGGAAGGAAGGAAAGATGGAAGGAACGAAGGAAGGAAAGACAGGAGGAAAGAGAAAGAAAGGAGAAAAGGAAGGAAGGAAGGAGAAAAGAGAGAGAAAGAAGGAAAGAGAAAGAAAGTAGAAAGGGAGGGAGGGAGGAAGGAAGGAAGGAAGGAAAAAAGGAAGGAAGGAAGGAAGTCAAGTTAGTTCTGAATTTTTAGGGATATGAGTTAAAAAATGCAAATTCCCTGCCTTCAATCCCTGCATTTTGGACATAATAGTAGGGCTAATGTGCAGTCCTAAAATCTGGTGTAATTGAAATCCTGGGTGATTCTGGTATTGCTGGTTTACTTTAAGAAGTATCTGGCCCGTGATTGGTTTCAGCATCTTGCACCAGGAGCTTGTCCTAAGCAATGTGGACAGATGCAAAATTTCTATCTGGGAGCCCTTTGCCTCTAACTGAAACTCACCTCTGTCTTTAACTCATTTCCTCTCCTCCCAGAGACTTCAGGTGAACTCTCTGCTCCGCTTGGAGCCCATCGCCAAGCTCTCCAAAGCTCCTTCCCTTCCTTTCTTCCTGTCTTCTGCACCAGGATAAACATAGGTGTTAGCATGTGCTGTGCCTACTACCAGAGTTAGATGTCCAGTGAGTGATCCTGTAGTGAGCTGTTTTGATTGCTAATACTTCAGTGAGTACATCTCCAAGGCTTGCATTCTGTCTAGAATAAAGTTCATTTCAGTAGAGAGAAATCTCCAGAAGTTTGAGACCCCTGCAGTACAGTAAGGAGGACCTTTTGTTTTTCCTGCCTCTGCTCTTGGCAGGCCTTGCCAAATCAGCCCTACTCCTTAGGAATGTTCAGGATTTCCTTTGCAGATTTAGGCCCAAGTGAAAGGCAACTGATTGTCACTGAACACAACCAAAGGTTCCAATTCTTGTCCTCCGGCTTCAATGCTTGGGGTGGGGCTGAGCAGCCCTGAGAACAAAACTAGCCGCGATGACTGAAATGCAATTAACCTTCTTATGAGTCTCATCTGAATGATAAAACCAGCATGAGAGTGTGTGGAGAGAGGCCTCTTCTAAAAGGTAAGCTGGACACTGGGTAGCTCACACCTGTAATCCTGGCTACCCTGCAGGCTGAGATCTGAGGATTGTGGTTTGAGGTGAATCTGGGCAGGAAAATCCATGAGACTTTCATTTCCAATTGCCCACCAAAAAGCAGAAGTGGCTCAAGTGGTAGAGAGCCAGCAATGAGCAAAAAATCAAAGGGACAGTGCCCAGGCTCTGAGTTCAAGCCCTAGGAGCTTGCAAAACCCTCCTTACACATACCATAAAGTTTTCCCCTCAGCTAGTTTCACGTACACCATGTATAGCATTATATATACTTACCATGCTATACATTACACCCCTAGAATTTACTCATCTTAGAGCTGAAAGTTTACACAGCAGCCCCCCCCGTTATTTGTGGATATATTACGTGTGGTTTTGATCAAGTGTGGTTAATAATAATAGTTTTTTTTAATCAAAAGAAATTTCAAAAACAATACCTTTTAAATTCCTGCACGTGCATCTCACAGCTCCGTGGACAGGGAGAGATTCCATCTTTCGTGGCCTTCGGGAGGTTTTCCTGCTCTGACTTTTGTGGAAAATCTGCCTTCTTGTAGCAAATGGTTCCCCAAAGCAAGGTCAAAGTGGATGTGTTTACGTGATAACGTGAAACGTTGAGATTTGTGGACAGGCGCCCCGTCTTCAGGGAGTTTGGGTATAGTTGTGGGAAATGAACCCAGCATTCACATCCCGAGCATGTGTGGTGTCTCCTCACTGGCCGTCTTGGAACCACGCACTGGCGGACACCAATGGTCTGCTGTACTTTTTGACCACAATCTCCCTTCTCTTACAACCCCCCATTCCAGTACATGGAAACACCCATTTGCCCTGGTTCTATACATCTCTTTCTTCTAGATTCTATATGTAAGCGATATTATGCAGTATTTGTCTTTGACTTACACTTAAGTTTTTCCCATCTTGTGGCGTGTGGCAGGATGTCCTCTTTTTTTTTTTAAGATTGAGTAATATTTCATTATAGATACGACAGTTCTTTTATCCATTCATCTGTTGATAGCCCGTTCGTTTCCACATCTTGGCTGTTGTAAATAATATAATGAACCTGGGAAGGTAGATGCCCTTCAAAATATGCTTTTTCCCCCCAAACCCTTAAGATATTTGCCCAGACACAAGCATATGACAGCTGATAGTTGTTTTTCTTTTTCCTTTTAGCACAAGGGATTATGAAATCTAGGGCTTCACACACAGCAGGAAAACATTATTCTACGGTACTACAATCCCCAGCCATAGTAGTTCTGTTATTTATTTATTTATTTGTGCTGGTACTGAACTAAGGGTCTTGGGCTTTTGCTCAGCTTTGTCCCTCCATTCATTCAGAAACCATTATGGAGTACCTGCCAGGTGCCCACAGCAGGATGACACTGTCAGAGAGGATACAGCAGCAAATAAAAGAGAGAGGTTCAGCCTTCCTATACAGATCTTCCATTTCACCATTCTGGATTGAACAAACAGCAGCTTCCCCTTTTCTGAAACTTATGTTCATGTGTCCCTTCTGGATGAGTCTTGCAGAAAGCTTGATGCCCATGGACAGAGAGGTGCAGAACAGGACCAGGCTTAGACACAAGTCGAGGGCTTGAAGGGTCAGGTGGTACTCTTCATAGTGGGATGGAGCCACGCAGACCAATGGGAATTTTGCATATGGAAAAGGGAAGGCAACAGCATAGCCCAGGTAGTTGACCCCCACCATACCTGTCAGTGAGGAGAAACAGTATGGGCCCAGCAGAGCGGACTCCAAGCTTATGGCAAAATGAACTGGGCATCCCGTAATGCTCAGAATCACAAAGGTGAGGCTGGCTTCCCAATGCAAATGAAGCAGAAGGAAACTGTTACTTTGATGCAGATAGGACTATAGTGACATGAAGCGGGGAGGGGGGAATCTCCACTCCCAGCTTTTGGCTGACTAATTGCAGATAAGACTTTCTCAGATTTGTCTGTCTGAGCTGGCTCCAAACCATGATCATCAGATTTCAGCCTCCTGATCAGCTAGGATTACAGGGATGAGCCACCAGTGCTGGCTCAGAAGCTACATTTTAACCAGGTCTCTGAGTGATTAGCATTGTAGATTGAGAAGGACAGCTTTAGCAAGAACAAAGTCATCAGATAAAGCTGTGCTTGTACATCATGATCATTCTATTTATTACCTGGCGTTAGAATGTTGAAACATCAAGATGTGAAGGGGAGAGGGACAGACAGACAGACAGACAGACAGACAGAGACAGAGACAGAGACAGGAGATCTGAGTCTGAGTTGAGACATAAAATTACATTATTAAGGGCTGATGGTGTAGCTTAATGTTAAAGTGCCTTAAAAAAAAAAGAGCAGGTGAAGTCCTGAATCAATCCCCAACACCACACACACACACACACACACACACACACACACACACACACAATGTAAAATAAATTTTAAAATGATTGAGAACAGGAGCCTAAAGATCCATTCTTTCAAAATGAAATCCAGGAGCACTTACACTGGCTCTGCCTTCCCAGAGGCAATACAAATCAAAGGAAACATATAGAAATTGTTTAGAGGAGGAATCAGATAAAACTCATTCCTTTAAAATTCAGTTTATTACTGAAATCCATCATAGCAAGGCCTCAATTAGATCAAATTCCTTTATAACTGGAAATCATATTGTCTGTGTCCCATCCTAAATTAGTAGTGATTTGACCTTCAGATGCCCCCTGCCATCCTTGCCTGGTGTCCAGATATTTATCAAGTGCCTCTGGGTCCATTCTTTGTGGACCAACAGTAAAAGTCCACCAGCTGTGATCACTTGGGGAAAGAAAATGGGAAAAATAATATTCACAGTCCAAGCCACATCACTCTCACAGTTGCACAACTTTGTCGTGAAGAGGAAGGAACCGCAGGTCACTGGATGGCTTTGTGGCTCCACTCTCCTCATCAGAGGAAAGACAGTCATGGCCACAGAGCTATGGTTCACTGCAGCTCAATGCTGGAGTCTCTGGATTGCCTTTGGTGTAGCCATCAAAAACCCTGCTACTACAAGGTGAAACATTTAGGGATGTCTAGTTTTCATCTTCCTCACAGGTCCTTAAAATTGTCACCAGGAGCTGTTGGAATAGACTTTTCACCAGACCCTCAATCCCTCCCAGTGGCTTTGTCTTCTGAGACTTTTTTTTTTGAGATTCCGAGCTGCAACCTGCAAGCAGGATGCAAATAACAAAGGTTATCATTAGAATGCATGCCCAAGTGGTGATTATTGCTGTGCCTATAACCCTGTCTAGCTTTGTGGAAAAGGTTTTCTTTATAGTTACCATTGAAGGACAAGGCCCAAGGTGCAGAGGGTAAAGAGTTCAGCCCAGTGGGTAGTTCAAGTCTGTTATCCTAGCTGCTCAGAAGGCTGAGATCTGAAGATCATGGTTAGAAGCCAGCCAGGGAAGAAAAGTCCGAGGGACGCTCATCTCCATTAAATACCCAAAAAAGCTGGAAGAGGTGCTGTGGCTCAAGTGAAAGAGTACTAGCCTTGAGCAAAAAGAAGCTCAGGGACAGCACTCAAGCTCTGAGTTCAAGTTCTAGGATCAGCGTGCGTGCGCACACACGCGCATGTGCAAACACACACACACAAGAGTTCACAAGCATTCACAGAATGTCACCAGAATTGAGCAATAGAGGAGACAGAGAGAGAGAGGGAGACAGAGAGAAGGGAGGAAGGGAAGAAGAAAGGAAAAGAAGGGAGGAGGAAGGGAGGGAGGGAAGAAAGAAGGAAGGAAGGAGAGAGAAAGATAAAGAAATGAAACAGAAGTCTCTGAGCTCATTGATGATTTGACACCAAGCCTGCTGAAGTAGACTACTAAAAATCATGGAGACTAGAATTTGCTATTCCCAATCCATGATACTGGTTTTCCTTTTCTTTTCTTTTTCTCCCCTGCTCTCTAGTGAAGTCTTTAAGGTTGAGAGAGTAAATTAGGAAGAGGAATACTGAAAAGAAGATGTTGAATGTGGACAGCTCTCAAAGTAACACAGTGTTGGGTTTTGACAGAAAAATGCACATGAGTGTATGCACAGTGTTGTAACGGAACTCGGTGGTGAGAAACAGAGAAGCCAACACTTGAGGCCACATTGTGAGTCTTATTGAAGAACCAGAGGACTGCTGGTGGGTCTTATCTCAAGGACCAGCAGCCCAGAATGCAGCTAGCCCAAAGCTTATATAGGCCAAAACCACACATAGGTGTGAAGAATTAAACCGAACCAAAGTGTTATATATCAGCAAAGCAAGCCAGGTAAGCACACTTAAACCTAACAGAAGTGTTAAATAAAAGCAAACCATCTAGGGAAACGATCAGGGGAACTCAAGGGCTCATTATCTAGGAAGCATAGACCCAATGTCTGTACTTGTATCAACAAACCCAAACTGGTCCCACCAGCACAGTTTGGGGGTATGCTTACTTTGGTGGCTCTACATTTAGCATGTTCATTGTTTGACAACTTAGCTTTTCATCGCATTGACATATTTTATTTTGAAAGCTGCATTTAGAGAATTTGGGGACACACACACACACATTCACGCTCACACAAAATATACTTGTGTCTTGTTGAACCGGAAATCCTGACTTGGCAAAGTCATCCCATAATACTTCCATGGATAAAAATGTAGTCTAGAAAGTTCCTGGCTTGTGTTTGCAAGAGGAAAGTTTTCAGGGGACCCTATGGAGGTCGAGCCAGCAAAAATAGTACAACCAAACAGGCGGGTTAATAAGAGCGATTCACTGGTGCTTTCTGGTGAGCCAGGGGCTGGTCCAGGCTCTCAGCCCTTGATTGACAGATGGTCCTGTCACTAGGCAGAGAGCATGAGGAGGCTGGCTCCGCCCCTCTGCCGCTGAGCTTGGCTAAGACAGCAGGCCTCAGCAGATGCTGAGGTGCCAGGTTGCCTTCCTGAGGCTGGCATGGGCCATTTCTTTCCTTTCACATGTTGGAAAGGGCTGCAGAATCACAGTTGCTTGTTAATTCGGCTGTGGCTGCCAGCTTGAATTTTGCTTTGTTTACATATGCTTGGAGAAAAGATTTTTCAGGGAGGAGGCCTTGGATGAATGCAGCTCAGTGATTTGCAAAATCCACACTGCCCTAGGTGAACCCGCCCATGTTGGCTAGTGCCCTGCCTCGCTGGGGAGGGAAATGTAAGGTGTGAACGCCAAGAGTCACAGAGAGTCCCTTATCTTATCCCTCTGTTTTGCCTCTGTGTGTGTGTGTGTGTGTGTGTGTGTGTGTGTCTGTCTGTCTGTCTGTCTGTCTGGGTTGCACACGCTGACATTAGAAATTGAACTCAGGGCCTTGCATTCCCCTTCTGGCTTTTTGCTGGTTATTTGGAGATAAGAGTCCCACAGACTTTCCTGCCCAGGCTGGCTTTGAACCGTGATCCTATGATCTCAGTTTTCTGAGTAGCTAGGATTACAGGTGTGAGCTCCCTGCCCCTGGCATGTGCTCTCTCTCTCTCTCTCTCTCTCTTTTTCTGCAGTACCGGCGTTCTAACTCAGGGACCTTGTTGATGCCCACTTCCATTTTTCTAGATTCCGTTTTTCGATAGAGAAAGGGAAGACAATGACAAAGGAAGAGGTTTGAGAGTAAGAAAATAAAAAGGGGGGAAAATTTGAGAGAGGGTGTGTGGGAGAGGTGACAAGTTGGACTCCAAACAGTGTGGCCGTGGAGGATGGGGGGTGGGTGGGGAGACGGACTGGGTACCCAGCAGTTCGTGGCCAGCACCTGCGCCCTCAGCCTGTCTCCATGCAAGCGGCTTGCTCTCTGGGCATGCGCACTGCCTGACTTGGGTTTTACTGCTTACACTTTGATCGCGTGGTGAGTTGAGCCTCTTAGAAGTATTTAAATTGCAGAAGGACGCAGGCACGCTTGAAGGATGCAGGGAGCAGTAACAACTTCAAGAGAAAGAGAAACTTTTAAAAGCATCATGTTAATATGGAAATTTTTTTTCATTTGCAAGCATCTACTGGGGCCCCAAGACTAACAAGCAAACAAATCTCACGGCTCCCCTGAATGAGCACCTCACATCTGCCCAGCACTGGATTAAATGCTCAGCCTGAGTTGGCAGTTAGCCCTCAGAAGGACTCTCCACTTTTCAAATGAGGCACATACAGGCTAAGATACCCACGAGGACGATTAATCATGCACCAGACACGGCTCCAATTCTCATTAGAAATTACAGTCTAGTTCTGAATATAATGCACATAAAAGAATTTTCACATAAGCCAGGAGCCAGAGGCTCACGTCTCTAATCCTAGCTACTCAGGAGGCTGAGATCTGAGGATCACAGTTCAAAGCCAATCGGGGCAGGAAAGACGATGTAATTCTTACCTCTAATTAACCATAAAAAAAAAAGTGGGATGTGAAGCTATGGCTCACGTAGTAGAGTATCAGCCTTGAGCAAAAAAGCTAAGAGACAGAGCCCAGATTCTGAGTCCAAGCCCACGTACTGGAACACACACACACACACACACACACACACACACACGAATATCCACACAATTAGGCAATGAGTGTTCTTCACATGACATGAGCTTGGATGGCAAGATCCTACTTCCAGGAAAAAAATAATGAAGAAAGCACCCAGGGAAATAAATTCTGAAGCAAGTTTGGAGGATGGGAATTACTTAGGTAGTCAGTGACAAATCAAGGGCAGTCCAGGCTATGGGAGCAGAATATGCAAAGGTCCTGAGGTATCCTCCTTGGTGAATAGGCAGGAAGAAGCTAAGACTTTCAGCAGGAAAAAAAAAATCTATGTGACATCAGGGGAAAGAAGACCTCAAAAGTATGCTGGCATGTGTGGATTTTGTTGAGAGGTTATTAAACACCAAGAGCTATGGAAGAAAGCACTAGCCTGACTACTAAAACAGGTTTAGAAAGATGAGGTCAGTATGTCTTCTTCCTCCTTCCTCCTTCTCCTGTTCCTCCTCAGCCTTCTTTTCTTCTTTTCTTTCTTTTCAGTTCTGGGGCTTGAACTCAGGGCCTGGCCATTATCCCTAAGGTTTTGTGCTGAAGGCTAGTGCTCAACCACTTGAGCCACAGCTCCACTTTCAGCTCTTCTGGTAGTGAATTGGAGATAAGAATCCGGCCCTGGCTGGCTTTGGACAGTGATCCTCATATCTCAGCCTCCTAAGCCTCCTCACAGGCGTGAGCCACCAGCACCTGTCTCACACATCTTCTTTTAACTCTACTTATGGCAAGGAATACATTATGCAATGTGGCCCAGTTAATACATCCATGATGTCTAGCAAAAAGAATGCTTTCTTATGTATGATCATGAATGTTCACCCGCCCTGTTCTATTTATTATAAATGCTGGCTGATAGACTGGTCTTATACTGAACTACATCTGACTGTAGAAGCAAGGTCCATGGGGGGTCTGAGCCAGGGAGGGAAGTGTGGGGAAGGAAATTATGAGCAGGAAGAGGAAGAGACTCAGCCACGTGCCTCCTGGGAAAATCCAAAGCCACAGTGCAGCTCCTTGGGCTGAGCTGGGTGTGTTAGGGCATTGCTACCTACAGCCCAGTCTAAGGGTCAGCAGCATGATTTCCACTCAGAACTCCTTAGCTGTGGGCAAACACAGGTTCCACCCAGACCTACTGAGCTAGAACCCACATGCAGCAAGACCCTCCCCCTTCCCCGCCCCCAAGACAATGAAAGGGAAGAAATGACTTTGGCAATAAGATGATTCATTTGTTTTTAGGCAAACTAGGTGCATGGAAAGAAATAGGTTAAAGTTATGGAAACAGCCCAGATGCCCTACAATAGATGAGTGGATCCAAAAAAATGTGGTATACATACACAATGGAATTTTGCACAGCCATTGGAAAGAATAATATTATGCCATTTGCAGGAAAATGGATGGACCTAGAACAAATCAAATCATGTTAACTGAGGTAAGCCAAGCTCAGAGATATAAATGGTACATGTTTTCTCTCATATTGGAAGCTAGATCTAAAATACATGGGGACATGATAAATTATCAAGACTCCAGGCATTCACACACAGTGAGACCAAAGGGGGACAGTCTTAGGGGAGGAACACAAAGGCAATGCCTAAGTGTATCTGATCATATAAAATAATATTTATAGAAATTAACTCTAAGAAATAGAATCAAGAATTTTTTTGTTTTTGTTTTTGTTTTTTTGTCAATTGTGGGGCCTGAACTCTGGGCCTGGGCAGTGTCCCTCAGCTCTTCAGCTTTAGGCTAGTGTTCTACCGCTTGAGCCACAGCACCACTTCTAGCTTTTTCTGCTTATGTGGTACTGAGGAATTGAACCCAGGACCTCATGCATGCAAGGCAAGCACTTTACCACTGAGCCACCTTCCTAGTCCTTAATTTTCTTTGTGTCTTTGTTTATCTGCCATGGGGAGCTAAGGGGGGGCATAGAAATGAAGGGACAAAGGATGAACGAATGTAGCAGTAGTACTCACTGGACACGATGTTGAAAGTGAACTATACAACTTGTGGGTGGGGATAGGAGGGAAATACCAAAATAGAGCACAAGAAGGGGTGACATTGCCCAAAAAGGAATGTACTCATTACTTGTAACTGACTTATGTAACTGTAATCCCACTGTACATCACCTTTATAATAACAATAAAAATACTTAATTAAAAAAGAAGAAGAAACAGTCTATCTAAGGAAAAAACCAGATCAGGGCCTGGGATTCTTTGCTTGACCCAATTTTAGTCAGGTTCCTCACTCTTCTCCTTGGTCCATTCTATGTGCCAGTCTGGCAAGAACCTTATGAAGTTCTCGGAAAGAATTGTCCCTGCAGTCAGTGCCTGTGGTGTCTGCTCACACTTAATACCTGTTTGTGTTTCTCCTCCACCAACTCCCAGTCAGTTCCCATGTGATTTGCCTGAACTGTCTTCAGCAAAAGTCCTGATAGGTTGGAATCAGGCCCTAGTGGCTCATTCATCTAATCCTAACTACCCAGGAGGCTGAGATCTAGAGGATGAGATCCAAGGCCAGTCTCAGCAGAAAAGTCTGTGAGATTCTATCTCTAATGAACCAGCAAAAAGCCAGGTTGGAGGCATATGGCTCAAGTGAAAACATGTCAGCCAAACAAGCAAGCTGAGCTTCATTAGTTGAAATTTTTTAAAAAAAATCCTAATTGGCCAGTTTATCCAGAATCATTTATTCCCAATATCCTCTCCTTAGTAATTTTCCATGCACTGACCAGGGCCAGGGCTATTAATTCCCACTTGGGATTTTGTATTTGGAATCAAACCCAGGGCTAGCCTAAGGTCTCTCTCTCTCTCTCTCTCTCTCTCTCTCTCTCTCTCTCTCTCTCGCTCTCTCTCTCTCTCCCTACTGCAATAGTACTAAATAATAAAAATCTGTTTCTACTGCTTCATCTATTACCTGACTCACTTTGAGTTTTGTGGTGTTTTGTATTTACCATCATCTGGTAACTGTAGTCATGTGACGGTTGGAATAAAGACTTGAAGCCTTTCCAGAACCAAGTGCCTTCTGTAACAGTTGAGGGGACCAGGCCCTGCAGGGCTAAGTGGACCCTGAACTTTCTCCCAGATCCCTGCCTCTCAGCAGGACTCTGGCTGCAATGCTGCTGCCGTTGGCTGGGTCTCTGGCCTGGCCAAAGGGGTGGAAGGCCCTCTGTTCCCCCTCCCCCCGCCAGTCCTCAGGGCCTGGTTTGTAAGCCCAACCCTGGGATCAAAAGAGCTCCACCCTTACAGTGTTAGGAGTATTAGGAGCTCCTTGCTGCATTCTTCAAGCAGCTGATGCCTTTAAATAACCTCCCTCAGAAATCCTAGAAAATGTGGGAGTCATGTGGCTGTCAGAATGGAGATAGGAGAGTTTGAGGACTCATATTGGTGAACTGCTGAGGTAGCCTGGGATGAGCTGCCTTGAACGAATACAGGGCCTTTACCACCTGCAAAAATGTATCCATTTCATGTCTTAAACGTAGTATGGTGTCCTTTGCAGAAGACAGCATCAACATCATTGAAGTGTACAGATGAGCTTTTGACAGGAGGAAACATCCTTTGAAGACAAGTATGTGACAGGTCAGGGAGGCCGTGGAAGAAGGCAGAAGTTTGTTTGTTTTGGTGCCAGTCCTGGGGCTTGAACTAAGGGCCTCACATTCTTGCTTAGCTATTTTTAGCTTTTTCATTCACTTGAGCCACATCCCCACTTCCAGTTCTTTGCTTGGTAAATGGGTCTTGGACTTTTCTACCCCAGGCTGGCTTCAAACCACAGTCCTCAAATCTCAGCTTCCTGAGTAGCAAGGAGTTCAGGCAGGGACCACCAGCACTGACTCAGGGCAGAGAGAGAGGCCTTTTGACTTTGACCTTGACAAGACTGTGGCTAGGTAGGGAAATAACGCTGCTGTTCCACATTTAGACATTATTGCAAGAGCAAGCATTCTTATTGATTTCCTTCTGGTGAGGATTTTTTTCCTGCTTCAGTATAAATACCAGCTTGACCTTTGGTCTTTGCAATCTAATCAGAGCTCACCCGGGGAAGACATTCTGCACTGCTCTGCTGGAGGATGGAGAATCCACTCACCCAATAACATGAAAGACTTTTGTTCAAGCTTAGAGTGTGACTCTCTTAGTTCCAGCTTATGGGAGATATAGCAATAAAGCAAATAGAACAGAAAATCCCATCTTCATATAATCCACAGTGATAAATAGGTGAATGCAGAAGGAGATGAGGTCATGCAGGCTAAGTAAGGCCCTGAGCTTTCTCCCAGATCCCTGTCTTTCAGCGGGACTCTGCCCACCGCCACTGGCCAAGTCTCTGCATTCTCCAGGCTTGGGTCCCCAGACGGAAATCACTGTACTTGCTCCTCCCCAAGGCATGGTTTGCAAGCCAGGTTCCAGGGTCAGTAGGAGTTTGTCCTTAGCTGAGGTTGATAGGTTTTTGAGGGGAAGGAGAGCAGGGTATGAGGAAGTGAAAATGGCAGAAAATGGCATCAGGAGGAAGGGGTTGCAACTGAAAGTAGATCATGTTTGTGTGTGTGGGTTTGTGTGTGTGTGTGTGTGAGAAAGAGAGAGGGGGGAGAGAGAGAAATGTGGAGGGAGAGGGAGAGAGAGAGAATGCATGCCTGTATTGAACTCAGGGCCTGGGTGCTGTCCCTGAGCTTTCTTGCTCAATGCTTACACTCTATCACTCAAGCCACCACTCCACTTTCAGCTTTTTGGTGGTTAATTAGAGATAAGAGTCTCACAGATTTTCCTGCCTGGGCTGGCTTTGAACTGCAATTCTCAGATCTCAGCCTCCTGAGAGCTAGGATTACAGATGTGAACTACCAGTGTCAATGAATATAAAGGTATTTATCTAGAAACCTGTACATGGGCCTGCATTTCAGATCCAGCTCCAATTAGTCAGAAAACTGTTTGGCTAGAGATGTGGTTTAAGTGGTAGAGCACCAGCTATAAGCAAGAAAGCCAAGCAAGCTGGGTGCTGGTGGCTCACACCTGTAATCCTAGCTACTCAGTAGGCTGAGATCTGAGGGCTGCAATTTGAAGCCAATGTGGGCAGAAAAATCCATGACACTCGTATCTCCAATAAACTACTCAGAAAAAGCCAGCAGTGGTGCTGTGGCCCTGAGTTCAAGCCCCAGGATTCACACAAGAAAGAGAGAGAGAAAAAAGAGAAAGAGAAAGAGAGGGAAAAGGGAAGAGAAAAGAAGAGAAGAGAAGAAAGGAGGGAAGGAATGAAGGAAGAAAGAAGGAAGGGAGAGAGGGAGGAGGAAGGGAAAGAGAGAGAAAGCCAAGGAAGTTTGTGGACTTGAGTTCAAACCTCTATACTGGACTGTTTTTTGACCCCTTCCCAATTCTTCTATTTAACCCAAATAGTAGTAGTAGTAGTAGTAGTAGTAGTAGTAGTTGTTGTTGTTCTTCTTCTTCTTGTCGGTTGTGGGGCTTGAACTCTGGGCCTGAGGGCTGTCCCTCAGCTCTTCAGCTCAAGGCGAGCGCTCTACCACTTGAGCTACAGCACCACTTCCGGTTTTCTGGTGGTTTATTGGAGATAAGAGTTTCACGGACTTTCCTGCCCAGGCTGGCTTTGAACCACGATCATCAGATCTCAGCCTCCTGAGTAGCTAGGATTACAGGCATGAGCCACCGGCACCCGGCTTCCCAAAAGTTCTTGTCAGCACCCAAAGGTGAATTGAGAAGCTTAATCTCCTCCATCTTCCCAACTTTGAGGTGTTGATTAAGATCCTTACCTGACTTTATTATCTCATTATTTCCTATGGCTTTCTTTGAGGCTTCAGGGTGAATGACATGTTGGAATACCCAGAGTAGGGCCTAGGACTCTAGCTACATGTATGTAATAAAATAATACTGATAGTCTATACTTAACTATGCAACTTATAGAAACCTGTGCTTTCAAATTCGAACTCTGGGCTAGGGTTGTGGTTCAGTGGTAGAGCACTTGACTAGCAGACCCAAGGCCCTGAGTTCAACTCCAAGTAGCATGAACCTAATCAATAAAATAAAATGCATTATATAAAATCTGAATTATATAAAATCTGAATTCTAGTTTTCTGGAGAATTTAGACATTTTTGTATTTTGGGGGAAAAAATGTAAAGGGTATTATTTTATGTCCTTCCCTCCACCTCCACATCCCCCACTTCCTTAACTATATTATTTTGCTAATAATTATTTTCTCTCAATATATTTAATAAAATATATCCTACTACTGCTCCATTCCAGATGGGACAAACAATCCACACACTCCATCCAGTGAACCAAAGCTTGGAGGAAAGAAAACACAGGGAAAAAGGCAAGGACCCCGGAGAACACGCTGAGACTCCCCAGAGAAAGGAGAATGTGGCCCACAGTCTGGTAGAGGCCCTTCATTCTCTTCTGTGACCTGATTCCTTGATCTCAAAGAGGTTTGGTTTCCAAAACACGGGGCTGTAACAGGACTCAATAAATAGCAATTTCTTAGAGACAGTAGCCAGGACACAGGTGGGCTGTTAATCTACTTGGAAGCCAGAGTCTCTTGATTTCACCAGAGATGAAATGTAGTTGACGTGATCCTTGATATAAATTGGACATGATGAATTTTGAATACTGGTTTAATTTGAACAGAGGAGAAAATTAGTCTTTGTTTGGGTGTTGCTGCCTTGACTCCCTTGGTTCTGCCCTGTCTGGGGAGTGACCACTTCCTGGCTTAATCAGATTCAAAGGCTTGCTGACTGAGCTAATTGTTTCTCAGCTCCATCGGCCTGGTGGGCACAGAATTAAGCCAATATCCTTTGGGCACAATAGATCCACATTCCGAGCACAATTTCCCACAAAACAAAGTATAAACAAGGACTCAATCTCTTTTCATTACATCTTAATGACTTAGAGCCAAAACAAGACTCTCCACTCCTTTCAAATTTTCATTCTAGTGCAATTCCTTTGGAGTTCTTGATACAGGTGTTTGATAGGAGTTATCTCCAGGTAGGCCTAAGTTCCATGATGAATTTCTCTATTGTTTTTACTAAGCTGACTTGTTATTGCTAATTCAGCTTGTGAGTGAGTGCAAAGATGAATGTGTGTAGGTGTACAATAAAGTATATGTTGAGAAGTAATTGGTCGGCTGAATAAGTCACTGATCTCTACTCATCTCCCAGTCATCATTTTAATTTGGGATGTTGGGCTTCTGCACATTTAAGTAGCTATAAAAGCTCATCTCTTAATTTTTCATGCATTTGAGAAAGTGATGTGGAGTTGACTTTGATTAATATGATGTTCATTGTCTCTTTCAAATTATATCCTTCCTTCCTTTGTGTGTGTGTGTGTATGTGAGTGTGTGTGTGTGTGTGTGTGTGAGAGAGAGAGAGAAAGAGAGAGAGAGAGAGAGATTGAGATTGCTGGGACTTGAATCCAAGGCTTCATGGTCCTGTTTGGCTTTTTCACTGAAGGCTGGTTCCCTGACACTTGAACCATACCTCTTCTTCCAGGTTTTTTGTTTTTGTTTTTTTGCCAGTTGGTTAGAAATAATAGTTTGCTTTCTGCCAAGGCTGGCTTTAAACCATGATCCTCCTTTCTTAGCCTCCTAAATAGCTAGAATTAAAGGTGTGAGCTACCATCGGCCAGCCTGAATATCGTGTGTGTGTGTGTGTGTGTGTGTGTGTGTGTGTGAGTGTGTGTGTGTCACAGGATCTCACTATGTACACCAGGCTGTCTTGGAGCACACTGTCCTCCTGTCTTAGCCTCCCACATGCTAGGGATAACAGATTTGCACCATCAAGCTTGGCTCCAAGAAAATATCCTGAAGGCAGAACATAATTGTGAGTTGTCTAATTTTTCTATTCCATTATGAATACTCTTTTTCTTTTAAAGAAAAAAGGATGTAAGATAATTTGATGTGCTGACAGTGAAGGTTTAGAACCTGCATTTTGAGTCACACAGAGCTAAGACCTGCTTTCTGGCTCTGCTCTCTCTTAGGAAAGGAATGTTACCTGACTTCTCTAGATCTATTTGGAGAAGGAAAGAACATTAGTGTGCATCTCCTGAAAGGTGCTTGGCTGAGTGGATTCACTGAGTCAACGGTGTGACTATTTGGCACTGAACAAGGATGTCTAGGAAGTGCCCCATGTGACATTTGGATACTTTGTCTTCAGAGTTCCTATGTAGTGGAACAGAGACACAGACACTGCCCTGCCTTTTACCCATCATTTTTTTGGCCACATGAGATTCCATTTTGTTGATTGATTTGGTAAAACAACAACAACAAACAAACAAACAAAAAATTCCCATAGGATTCTGCCATGTGCAGTGGGAAGAAAGAACTTCTCTTAGATTCTGCCTTTTCATTCTGACTTTTGGTCCTCAAGACATTCCTCAGGTTAACCAGATTTGAAAGCAGTTGTATTTTTCAATATACAGAATGGAAGCAAGTGGCTTCAGCTTTCTGATGTCGCTGCTTTGTTCCATCTCTGTACTCTTGGATTGTACTAGCAACATTAAACTACAAGGAAGAGCAGAGACTCTGTATATACTGTGAATACACAACACAGCCCCAATATGGTAGATGGTAGATGGCATAGGTAGCAGCACTTGAATTCATTGCTAAATGTGTTTGATCTTCCAACTGTGCATGTGGGGCCCCAAGAAGCTGCAGAAGGGTAGGTGAGCATGTGTGTCCCACAGCCAGGGACATTGCCAGTAAGTCTCCTTTGATACCAGGGGAAAAGGGTCTGGAATTGTGTTGGTATTTGCTCGCAGCTGTTTTGACTTTTTCCTTTGCTTTGTATCTCAAGGTTAAGGCCACATGGTATGTCAATAGGTTGTGGGTCAGACTACTCTCTCCTGGTTGCATGTTTGGAAAATAGAAGCTGTTGAAATACTTGTGTTAAACAGTACAAAGATGGCAAACAAAGAATTTTGTTTCTGGCTTTGTTTTAATTTGGGGGAACTTTCCCAGGGCTTTGTAACCCTCACAAGGCTAACCAGGTGTGAGCTAGAAATCTGAACTTATTAGTATTAGAAGAGGTGTTGCCGTTTACTGTTGTAGGTGAATCACCCGAGAAGCCACATTTTGAAATATGGAATATTGGAGTCTTTATTACACAGTTAGTAGGCTGCAGGCTGCCAGTTGTTACAAAGGCCTGCAGCCCCCAACTACAGATAACGCAGCTAGGAAACATGCTAGAGAGGAAAAAGAACAAAAACAATACCAACAAGCCAGTTCAGCTCCGATGGAGGGCTGAATTGGGACGCCATGATGACTGGAGAGGAGTCAGGAGACAGGACACAGAACATGACCACGGAGACACATGTGACATGATGTAATGGTGACTGGGCTGGTCCGGGCCTAAATAGAGCCCAGATCAGCAGGGCAGACCCACAGGAAATTCCCAGTTCCAGCCACTGGACTGACAGATTCAGTAATCTATCAGCCAAGTGCCCACCCCTGACTACAGGGCTCCAGGCATGCCCATCACCTGGGAGGCAGATGGCCTTTTCCTCCCTCAGCATGAAAACAAGATGCTAGACTCTACCATCCACCATGTGGCCAATATGGCGCCCGCCAGACCTGACCTCCTTACTTCATTACTATAATAAAGAAAAAGGTAGAAAAGGTAGAAAAATTTTCTTTTTCTCTTTCCTTCCTTCCTTCCCACCTTCCCTCGCCAGTCACGGGGCTTGACCTCCTTCCTTCCTCCCCTCCCTCTCCTCCCCTCCCCTCACATCAGCCGTGGGGCTTGAACTCAGGACCTGGCACTGGAGCTGAGCTTTTGTACTCAAGGCTAGCACTGTACCACTTGGAGCCTCAACACCCCTTGTGGATTTCTGGTGATTAATGGGAGATCAGAGTCTCATGGACTTTTCTGCCCAGGCTGGGTTCCAACTGTGATCCTCAGATCTCAGCCTCCTGAGTAGCTGGGATTACAATCCTTTCTTTTCTTTTGGCAGTTTTGGGGTTTGACCTCAGGGCCTTGCCTTTATTAGGTAATTGCTCTACCATTTGAGCTACACCTCCAGTCTGGCTTCTTCCTGGCTATTTTAGAGATGATGTCAGGTAGACTTTTCTGCCCAGGCTGACTTGAGCCAAGACCTTCTGGATCTTAGCCTCCTGAGTAATTCTGATTACAGATATGAGTCACTGGCATCATACTAGAAGGATTTTTTTTTTTGGTCGGTTGTGGGGCCTGAACTCTGGGCCTGGGCGCTGTCGCTCAGCTCTTCAGCTCAAGGCTAGCACTCTGCCACTTGACCCACAGCACCACTTCTGGCTTTTTCTGTTTATGTGGTGCTGAGGAATTGAACCCAGGGCCTCATGCCTACAAGGCAAGCACTCTTCCACTGAGCCACCTTACTAGCCCCTAGAAGGATTCATTTTTATCAAAAAAGAAAAAGGAAATGATATAAGAAAGCAAGGAAATAAATGGAACTCTCCAAGAAAGAGGAAATGAAAAAGTTGTGTTTTTCTAATAGCTTCAGACAACTAGTATCACTAATATATAGAATATATATACATATATATATGTAGTTTACACATGGTATTTATATAGTTTATACATTAAAAAGGTGGCTCATGGAGCAGAAAGAGCATTAGCTATGGTATCAGAAAGACTTGGTTTGAAGATTACCATTATATATAAAAAATGAAGGAAGGAGGGAGGGAGAGAGGAAGGGAGAAAGAAACACTCCACTGACACCAGCACAGTATTTGGTTGGGGCAGGAGCTATAAAGGCCAGTGGATGACAGGGGGAGGATGGGCATGCAGCACCATGTCAGTGTCCACCATGAGCAAGCCACCCAACTGTACAAGAGAAATACCAGAGCTCTCTGACATCACTTCCTCCAGCTGGAACACAGTCCACGCACACACCTGCTTGGGTAGCATTGGCAAAAATGTTTAGCCTGAATCTGATCAAAAGTAAGTCCTTAGGTAAATTCAGATGGGCAAGAAAACTTCGCAAAGCACATCCTTGTTATAAAAGATAACAGGAAGATTACTGGGACAACTGGGAAATTGATAGTAGATAATATTTAGTGTGTCCATGTTAAATATATTGGGAGTATGGCATCATATTTATATAAGAGAATGCCCTATTGGTTCAACTCAATGGTAGTAGTGCTCTTTATTGTTTTCTGGAGGGCTGAAGATCTCAAGTTCAAGTGGAGAGGTGAGGGGCTGGAGGTGTCAAGTAGGAGTTGAGTACTTTAGTAGTTGTCTTGCAAGTGTGAAGCCTTAATAATCCCAGCATTGAAAAAAAGTATACCTATATGTGTGTATACATATATCTTAAATATCTTATATATGTGAAATATATTTACATATTTACTTGTATCTTATATATGACAATATGTTAATATAAATATATTTAAAAATAAATAATTATTTATATTATTATAT